GGCTAAGGCGGGAGGATTGCTTGAGGCCAGGAGTTTGAGACCAACCTGGGTAACATAGGAAGACCCTGTCTCTAAAAAATAATTAAAAATTAGGTGTTAGCCAAGCACAGTGGCTCACATCTGTAATCCCAGCATTTTGGGAGACCACGGTGGGCAAATCACTTGAGGTCAGGAGTTTGAGACCAGCCTGCCCAACATGGTAAACCTCATCTCTACCAAAAATACAAAAATTAGCTGGGTGTGATGCTGCACTCCTGTAATCCCAGCTGCTTGGGAGGCTGAGGCAGGAGAATCACTTGAACCCTGGAGATGGACTTTGCAGCAAGCCAAGATTGCACCACTGTACTCCAGCCTGGGCAACAGAGCAAGACTCCATCTCAGTGGGCACCTGTAGTCTCAGCTGTTTAAAAGGCTGAGGTGAGAGGACCCCTTGAGCCCAAGAGTTTGAGGTTACAGTGAGCTGGTTTAAGGTTATAAGTGCCACTGCACCCCAGCTTGGGTGACAGAGCAAAACCCTAGCTCTAAAGAAAGAGGGAGAAAGTCTCAATTTGGTGCGACCGTCTTTAATGCCTCTCTAACACTCCTTAATCTGTTTGGCAGAGATAACTGGTCTCAAATTCAGAGCTTTATGCAACAATATATCTCTAGAACCCAGTAACACAGTGTTGTTTTCATTAAACAAACATATGCACGGCAGATGACTCCGGTGTCAACTAATCTGGTTCCCTTACTGCCCCTTTGCTGTCCATCTTCCCATTTAGAGCAGTGCCATCCAACAGAACTTTCTACAGTGATGGAAATGTTCTCTAGAACACAGGGGATAGTCGTGTGGGCTTAGAATGCTACCATTTTTAGTACATGAGGACGGCCACTATCTAAACCTTGTTTAGAATACAAAACTGTGGTTTATAGAATGAGCAATTGGAATTCATCACTCTTGGCCCCACCCCTGATAGAGTGATGGGCACTTCTAATCCCAACTACTCAAGAGGCTGAGGCAGAATTGCCTGAACCTGGGAGGTGTAGGCAGCGGTGAGCTGAGATCACATCAAGGCACCCAAGCCTGGGTGACAGAGCAAGACTCTGTCTCAAAAAAAAAAAAAAAGAAAGAAAAGAATTTTCCCCAGAGAGCTGGGTTTGGGCTGCTTATGGAGGTCATCCCTGCAGGATTCTGCTTCCACTAGATACTTGACCTTGAGCTTGGGTGTTTTGGCATTCACAGCTAGACGTACTGGACTTTAAGAATGTGAACTCTGTAGTCGGTCAGTACCTTGGGATCTCCCAGCTGCAGTGGTGCAACTTTACACAAGTTGCTCAACCTCTCTGAGACTTAGTTTCCTCCCTTAGAGAATAGGAGGGTTCTGGCCAGCAGTGGTGGCCCATGCCTGTAATCTCAGCACTTTGGGAGGCCAAGGCGGGTGGATCATAAGGTCAATAAATGGAGACCATCCTGGCCAACATGGTGAAACATCGTCTCTACTAAAAATACAAAAATTAGCTGGGTGCAGTGGTGCACACCTGTAGTCCCAGCTATACAGGAGGCTGAGGCAGGAGAATCATTTGAACCCGGAAGGTGGAGGTTGCAGTGAACCAAGATCACAGCACTGCACTCCAGCCTCATGACAGAGTAAGACTCCATCTCAAAAAAGGAATCCAAAAATAGGGGTGTTGGCCAGGTGCAGTGGCTCATGCCTGTAATCTCAGCACGTTGGGAGATGGAGGTGGGCAGATCACCTGAGGTCAGGAGTTCAAGACTAGCCTGGTCAACATAAAGAAACACCATTTCTACTAAAACTACAAAAATTATCTGGGCATGGTGGCACATACCTGTACTCCCAGCTACTTGAGAGGCTGATGTAGGAGAATCACTTGAACCTGGGAGGTGGAGGTTGCAGTGAACTGAGATTGTACCACTGCACTCCAGCCTGGGTGACAAAGTGAGACTCTCATCTCAAAAAAAAGGGAAATAAGGGTGTTAAAAATTAGCCAGGCTTGGTGGCACATGCCTGTAATTCCAGCTACTTGGGAGGCTGAGCCTGGGAGGCGGTGGTTGCACTGAGCCAAGGTTGCACCACTGCATTCCAACCTGGGTGACACAGTGAGACCGTGTCTCAAAATAAAATAAAATAAAATAAAATAGGGGTATTGATCCACCTAGCTCCTTGGCTTACTGTGAGGGCTGAATAAGATCATAAGATATGGAAACTACTTCGATCCCAGCCTGACACAAAGCAGGTATTCAGTAAGTGGTGTTATGATTGGCAGTGATGGTATCTTCCAGAAACTTTAGCAGAAGCCTTGCAAAATAAAGTGTGTTGACTTGGAATCTTCAGCTGAGGCTTCTGTGAGGGACCCCTAGGTGAGGACAGTGAGGGAGGAGGCTCTGAGCCAGAAGAAGGTAGGAGCTGACCTCACCGTAGCCATTTACCCAACACCCCAGCCTCACCTGAGTCAGTGCTGGAGATGCGTACACCAGGCTGTAACCAAAATGTAGGTTTAGTTGCTGGCCACTTGCAGAGTCCAATTTAAAAAGTGACTTTTTTTTTGGGTGAAGGCACAACACTGAAGGTATAAATGAGAAAAAGAAAAGAAAAAAAAAGGACTTTTTTAGCTGGGCATGGTGGCATGTACCTGCAGTCCCAGCTGCTTGGGAAGCTGAGGTGGGAAGATCACTTGAGCCCAGGAGGCAGAGGTAGCAGTGAGCCAAGATCACACCACTGCACTCCAGCCTGGGGGACAGAATTAGACCTTGCCTCAAAAGAAAAAAAAAAAAAAATTGGAGAGAAAAGTGACTTCGTATTCCAAAGCTAGCTTAGGGGAAGAAGTACAGGCTTCCTGACTTAAGGGTATTACTTCCCCTCTGAGGCAAAAGCAGAGACTCTAAAAGGAGATTTGGCATAAATGGCAGGCAGGGGAGGAAGCAAGCTGGTGGGCGTCCACGTAACGCACTTTAGTGAATTAGAATTATCTACCAGGCGGTCCAGCTGGCACCTTCCTGGACAGAGCTAGGTTGTAAAAGTGGCTGAAACTCTCAAGATGGGAGAGAGTTTGGTTGGGGACATACTTTCGCTTGCAGATGGACAGTCGTCTCTCTAGGCAACCTCCAGGCAGGAGCGTGGGCTGCTCTGGAGATGCTAAGCACAGTTAGATAAGCTTACCCTGTAGGTGAAAGGAAGATAGAAGATTATAACCGCTTCTTTTGTTGTTTTGAGATGGAGTCTCGCTCCATCATTTTGATCATTTTGAAGCTGTGTGGCTTCATCTTGTCATTGGCTCCACTTTTATACGTTTTGAGATATTTAATATATTTTTTTAAAGCTAAAAACACAAGATTAAGGATTGCACTATATTGGCTGGGCATGGTGGCTAATGCCTGTGATCCCAGCACTTAGGGAGGCTGAAGCGGGTCGATCCCTTGATGTCAGGAGTTCAAGACCAGCCTGGCCAACATGGTGAAAACTGGTCTCTACTAAAAATACAAAGAAAAAAAAAAGTAGCTAAACGTGGTGGCAGGTGCCTGTAATCCCAGTTACTTGGGAGGCTGAGGCAGGAGAATCACTTGAACCTGGGAGGCAGAGGTTGCAGTGAGCCGAGATCATGCCACTCCACTCCAGCCTGGGTGACAAGAGCAAAACTTGGTCTTGAGAAAAAAAAATAAGGATTATACTGTATTTGGCACTAGACAAAACAGGGTTTAAATTCAAATCTTACCATATTATTTACTTTAAAATACTCTGAGCCAGCATTGTGCAGGGGGAGCGGGCATGGTGGCTCACTCCTCTGATCCCAGTAGTTTGGGAGGCTGAGGCAGGTGGATCATCTGAGGTTAAGAGTTCAGAACCAACCTGGCTAACATAGTGAAACCCCATCTCTACTAAAAGTACAAAAATTAGCCAGGTATGGTGGTTTGCACTTGTATTCCCAGCTACTGGAGAGGCTTAGACAAGAGAATTGCTTGAACCCAGGAAGTGGAAGTTGCAGTGAGCCAACACCAGGCACTCCAACCTGGGGGGCAGAGCAAGACTCCATTGCAAAAAAAAAAAAACAAAAAAACTCCAGGGGAAGAAAATAGATGAGACCAAATTATTGGTAATTATTGTAGCTGGGGTAACAAGTATGGGACTCTCCTGTTTTCTTGATGTGTAAGGAAATTTTAAGAGCGTCCCTGATAAAAATCGAAAAGAGAAACAAATCTTAACTGGCTGTGTGACCCTAAAACCTTACTCCATCTTTTGGGCTTGGCACATAGCAAGTGTTTCCTACTCAAAAACTGCCTCTATTACTGTTGTGTTTTGTGGGGGAGGTTTTGTTTGTTTTTAGAGACTGGGTCTTGCTTTGTCATCCAGGCTGAAGTGAAGTGGCGCGATCATAGCTCACTGCAGCCTCAACCTCCTGGGCTCCAGTGATCCTCCTGCCTCAGCCTCCCCAGTAGCTGAGACCACAAGGCACATGTTGCCACACCTGGGTGTGTTTGTATTGCAGCTGGTTTGCTCTGTGATTTAGCATCAGCTGATCACTTTCTCTCTTGTCCTCCAGAGAACATGCAGTGCCCCAAGTCCAAGGTGGCTCTGAGTGGCCCCTGGAAGGACAGCACCTACAGGCAGTGCCTGTACCTTCAGCTGGAACACGTGGAGCAAGAGCTGCGGATGGTGGGGCCCCGAGGCTTCCCCCAGCACCACAGCCATGCCCTGGCTCTCAGGCAGCTGCAGACCCTGAAGGGTTGCCTGGGTGTACAGCTGGGCACCTGGGCCCCTGCACATGCCAGGTAATCCACTTCACTGGGTGCTGAGTGGGCGCCTGCCTGCCCCCGCCTGGGGCTCTCTGGGAACGGCATTCTGAACAACCTTGGAAGGATATTCACCCAAACCTCCCTGGGCAGAAATCATGCAGGATTCCTGCAGGCATTCAGGGAGACCGGCTTTGAACAGGGTGGGAAGGCGCTCAGGGCCTTTGTTCTGCATTTTACAGTCACTACAGTGTTCATGTGGGCGGTCTCTCACCTGTGCACTGCACTGATGAACTGGCTCCTTAACTTCTCAGGCTTAGTTTCCTCATCTGTAATAGGGGAATGATAACACCTGTCTCTTGATTCAAACTTAAAACAAAATGCAGTTTTTAAGATAACAAGCAGACTTTGAATACACACTACCAAGACCAGCTGTGCCATAGAGACCCGCACCCAGGTGGTGCCAAAGGCATCAAGAAGCAGACACCCGGCCTTCAGCCTGGAAAGCTGTTGGCCCCTGAGGCTCTCAGCTCCACAGCCTGCTGGCCCAGAAAAAAAGAAAGAAGCAGACACCCAGATAGAACAACAAAGTGGGACTATCCGAGAATCAGCAGCTTTCCGAGCTGAGAGCCCGCGGGGCCTGATGGCATTCCGGCTGAGAGCCTTCAGCAGATGCTGACCCACCTAGTTATTCTCCCTGAACAGGGGATTATTATTAACAAACAGGTGTTGTGTGTTCTCTCGGAGAACCAAGATAAACTAGGTAGGCAGCTGGTGCCTGCTTACCACTGATTAAGGGCAAACCAGAAAGTATTCTCCACGAGGGAGCCACGGGGCCAGGGCCACATATCCCATGCTTAAAGAATTGTTTTAACCGGTATATGATACACATACACTATTTTGCTACTTTAGAATTCCCCAAGCAGCTTCCCACTTTGGGGTCAGCTAGGTTTTCCTTGCCATCGTTCTTCTTAGCAAACAATATAATTTTATCATACACAGAGTTTCTCAGCAACATACAGGTTACTAGATGACATTAAAAAATTAGTGTTAATTTTGTCGTGTAAAAACAACCACATAATTCAGTAAGAAAATGGCTTTTTTGAGACAGTCTTGCTCTGTCACCTAGGCTGGAGTGCAAGGGTGTGATCTCGGCTCACTGCAACCTCTGCCTCCCGGGTTCAAGCCATTCTCTTGCCTCAGAGTCCTGAGTAGCTCGGATTACAGACGCACACCACGATGCCCAGCTAAATGTTGTATTTTTAGCAGAGATAGGGTTTTACCACGTTGGTGAAGCTGGTCTGGAACTCCTGACCTCAAGTGATCTGTCCAAGTCAACCTCCCCACATGCTGGAATTATAGACGACAGCCACCGCGCCTGGCTGAGAAATTATCTTTACAAAAACTTAAGGCTAAGTTAAAAATACAAAAATTAATTGGGTTTAGTGGTGGGCACCTGTAATCCCAACGACTTGGGAGGCTGAGGCAGGAGAATCACTTGAACCTGGGAGATGGGGGTTGCAGTGAGCCGAGATGGAGCCATTGCACTGAGTGACAGAGCAAGACTCTGTCTCAAATAAGTACATAAATAATAACTTAAAACATGGGCATGGAGGTCATGACAAATCAAAATCAAAGGAAAAACACTTCAAACAAAATTACATGGTATCTACTCAGGCTTGCCCTAAGCAGTAACAGCAAATCGCTGTATAGTGGTTAGAGCGGGGACTTGCCCCTGCTCTGCACTGAATAAATGTAACTGCTTTTACTCCATAGGCTATAGCATGGCCCTTTGAGACAGGCATAGATTACAGAGAAGGAAACAGAGGGTCTGAGAGGTCCGGGAGCTTTGCCAAGGTCATGCAGATGGTGGGGTAGGGTGGGGTTTGACCTTGAGCTAGTTTGGGGGCATGGTCACCCTAACTATGTCTGTTCACCTCTGCAGCACTTTTCGGGCGAGCAAGCCCCCTCAAGGCCTTCCCTGGTGGTGCATCCTGGTGGGATGGCTCCTGGTGGCAGTCACCAGTGGCATGGCGGCCTTCTTCACCATGCTCTACGGCCTGCAGTACGGGCGGGCCAGCTCCATCAGGTGGCTCATCTCCATGGCCGTCTCCTTCATGGAGAGCGTGTTCATCACCCAGCCTCTGAAGGTCAGGACTCTGCCCTAGGCTCCCGCCATCCTCCCCTCCACCCATCCCTTCCCTCCCACCAGCAGCTTGTTCCTGGGCTTCCATTCTTTTATTTATATATTCAACAAATGAACCTGGAGCATCCCCTCTCTGCAGGCCAAGGGATGGGAAAAATAATGAAGAGAATTCCTATCATGGCCCAAGTAGGTGCACACTCACTCTGCAGCAGGTGTGGTGTTTTACTGGGAAGCTAGTGTTCCATAATCATGACCGCCCTTACGATTCTCATCTCCCTTTTACAGGTGAGAAAACTTGAGGTTAAGGAATTACAGGCCGGGTGAGGTGGCTCACGCCTGTAATCCCAGCACTTCAGTAGTCTGAGGCAAGTGGATCATTTGAGGTCAGGGGTTCGAGACCAGCCTGGCAAAAATGGTGAAGCCCCATCTCTGTTAAAAATACAAAAAAGCCAGGCGCAGTGGCTCATGCCTGTAATCCCAATACTTTGGGAGACCAAGGTGGGTAGATCATGCGGTCAGGAGTTCAAAGCCAGCCTGGCCCATATGGTGAAACCCCATCTCTACTAAAAGTACAAAAATTAGCCAGGCATAATGGCACATGCCTATAATCCCAGCTGCTGAAGAGGTTGAGGCAGGAGAATTGCTTGAACCTGGGAGGTGGAGGTTGCAGTGAGCTAAGATTGCCCCAGTGCACTCCAGCCTAGTCAGCGCAGCAAGACTCCATCTCAAAAAAAAAAAAAGACTTAGCCAGGCATAGTGGCAGGTGCCTGTAATCCCTGGTATTCAGGAGGCGGAGGCAGAAGAATCACTTACACCCAGCAGATGGAGGCTGCACTGAGCTGAGATCTCACCACTGCACGCTAGCCTATAGAAGACACAGTGAGACTCTGTCTCAAAAAAATAAAAAAGAAAGAAAGAAATTAAGGTGGGGCTGGGCATGGTGGCTCACACCTGTAATCCAGGACTTTGGGAGGCCGAGGCAGGCATATTGCTTGGGCTAAGGAGTTCTAGACCAGCCTGTGCAACAAGGGCAACACCCTGTCTCTACAAAAAACACAAAAATTAGCCAAGCAAGGTAGTGGGTGTTGTGCACCTATAGTTCCAGCTAGGTAAACTGAAGTAGGAGGATCACTTGAACCCAGAAGATGGAAGTTGCAATGACTTGAGACCAAGCCACTGCATTCCAGCCTGGGCAACAGAGCTCAAAAAAAAGAAACTAAGATCGCATGCTAGGTGTGGTGGTATATACCAGTAGTCCCATCTACTCAGGAGGCTATGGCAAGAGGATCTCATGATCCTAGAAGTTCAAGGCTGTAGTGTGCGTTGTCAAACCTGTGAATAGCCACTACACTCCAGCCTGGGAAACAGAACAACACCCTGTCTCTAAAAAACAGAAGTTAAGGCCCAGGCGCAGTAGCTCACACCTGTAATCCCAACACGTTGGGAGGCTGAGGTGGGCAGATCACCTGAGGTCAGGACTTCGAGACCAGCCTGACCAATATGGTGAAACCCTGTCTCTACCAAAAATACAAAAATTAGCTGAGTGTGGTGATGGACGCTTGTAGTCTCAGCTACTTGGGAGATTGAGGCAAAAGAATCGCTTGAACCTAGGAGGTGGAAGTTGCAGTGAGCAGAGATCCTGCCGTTGCACTCCAGCTTTGGAGACAGAGTGAGATTCCATCTCAAAACCAACCAACCAAACAAAGAAAGCTAATATTTATGCTATGAGACATCGCCAAATCCCCTCTGGACCCCCATTCTTCCCTGAACAGCCTTTATCTAAGAGTAAAAAAAACATCTGACACCTCCCCTCAACACTAGGCTCCCAGGATACTAAGAACAGGCATGCGCGCTGAGCCTTTCTGTTCCCCAGCGGAACCACGGGATTCTCCCATGGTTGTGCAGAACAGGCACAGAGATCCCGTGGCTGAGGCCTTGCAGCTGAAACCATGCAGCTGAGGGCATCGCTTAATAGAGCAGGAGCCAGGCGCGGTGGCGCCTGCCAGTAGTCCCAGCTACTCGGGAGCCGGAGGCGGGAGGATCGCCTGGGCTGTAGTGTGCTATGCCGATTGGGTGTTCGCACTAAGTTCCACTGGGTGTCCGCACTAAGTTCGGCACCAATATGGTGACCACCCGGGAGCAGGGGACCATCAGGTTGCCTAAGGAGGGGTGAACTGGCCCAGGTCAGAAACGGAGCAGGTCAAAACTCCCGTGCTGATCAGTAGTGGGATCGCACCTGTGAGTAGCCACTGCACTCCAGCCTGGGCAACATAGCGACACCCCGTCTCTAAAAAGAAAAGAAAAGAAAAGAAAAAATACAGCAGGAAAAGGAAGGAGCAAGGTGGGGCAGGACTCCTGTGCTAGAAGCGAAGGGGGAGAGCACTTCTCCTTGCAGAGAGATCAGACATTCCTCAGTCAGGTGCGCAGCAGTAGGTGCGAAGGCTCAGGGGAGTGTTAGGACTGGCCAGTCCTCTGTCTGGTCCGTCTGGTTTGTGAGCAAAGGCCTTGCACTCCATCTTCAGAACCACTTCCCGTCTCTGCAGAAGGGAGCTGCATTCCCTCAAAGCACAGGGCCCTACACAGCACACAATCCTGGCCCCAAGCCCTGCGCCCTCGCAGATGAGGGGTTGAGAGTTATGAGCATGGGCTCGAGGCTCTCCCTGGGTATTTTTTAGGTGCTGGGATTTGCTGCTTTCTTTGCACTGGTCTTGAAGAGAGTGGAGGAGGAGGAGGTTACAGTGGCTCCACTGCCAAGACATCTGTTGGGCCCAGGTAATGTGCCTTGGTGGCTGGAGGCAGGTTTGGCCAGCTGTGGCCCTTATGAGGCTCAGTGAGCCCTGCAGAGTGACAGAGTGCAGCTTGTGCGGGCGGTGGGGGAAGGGTGCTGGTTCTTGGGCCAGCTCCCCAAATCTTTGTTCCCCACCAGCCTTTCAGCCCCAGTTTGTGAGCCATCCCCAAATGAGCTGGGAAAAAACGACTTCTTGTCTCCTGAGTATCTTTGTTTCTTCTTTCCCTGGCATTTTTCCATAACACTCAAGTATGACCTGCCAGCCAGAAGAGGTACCTCGGGGACGAAGCTGTCTGCATGGGCTGTCCTTCTCTGTGTAATTCCAAGCAAGCAGCTTTCTTCTCTGAGACTCAGGGACCTCGGTTTTAGAACAAAAACTGAAACAAGAATAGGTTT